AAAAAAACAGCATGTTGGGCAGAAGAAAGTAAGAGGGAAGGCTATGTGAAGAACTCAGCATGGTAAAAGACGCTGAAAGAAGATCCGTGTGTCTGGAACCCAGTGGCATCACATAAGCAAGGGGGAAAGGTAAGGCAGCCGATGCAGGTGGCAGATCACAGTAAGGGCTGTGGTCTTTATCCTGAGAGTAACAGGAAAGTACTAAAGAGTTTTAAACAGGATAGTGATCTTTTTAACCATAACTTTATTAAGATAAATGCAGATTCATGTGCAGTTGTAAGAAATAGTTCCTATGTACTCTTTGCCAGGTTTCCACCAGTGGTAACATCTGTAAAACTCTAGTACAATATCACAATCAGGATACCAGCACAAGGCCGGGCACGGTGGCTCACACACGTAATCCTAGCACTGTGGGAGGCCAAGGCAGGTGGACTGCCTGAGCCAGAGCGAGACCTCATCTCTAAAAATAGCAGGTGCTATGGCGGGCACCTATAGTCCCAGCTACGTGGAAGGCTGAGGCAAGAGAATCGCTTAAACCCAAGAGTTGGAGGTTGCTGTGAGCTATGACACCATAGCACTCTACCAAGAGTGACATAGTGAGACTCTGAACCCCCCCCCCCAGAAAAGGACATTAGCACAGATACAGGATACAGAATAGTTTCATCACTGCAGGGATCCCTCATGCAGACCTTTTGTAACCATATTCACTTGCCTCTCACCCCTCCTACCTTGTAAATAAATGATCGGTTCTGACATATGAAATAATCCTTCTTGGTTGTTTGGAGAACAGACTAGAGGGGAGCAGGGGTGAGTCAGGAGATGAAGTTACTGCAGTGCCTCAGGCAAGACATGATAGTGTGAGAAGAAACGGGGCTACAGCCGAAACGGGGAACGTGGGGAAAGGGGCTGGACTTAGGAAACAAGCAGGAGTCACGCTGGTGATACGCTGATAAAGGGAGTCAGAGAGATGAAGGCGTCCAAGTTTCCAGATTCTGATTAGATTGGTAACATGTAAGGGAACAGGATGAAGATCCTGGACACATTAAAGTTCTTTTGAGATAGGACAGGACTCCGCTTCTCAGAAGAACACCCAGGAGAGACATCTTAAGTCCCACTCAAGAGCAAAGTTTGGCAACACCTAATGACAGCCTGCTACAGCAGAAAAGGAGAGTGGTACAAACTTCAAGTCAAAACTCAAAAACACAAAGTACTCAACACTAGAATATCATCAATGAATGAATAAAATAAAGAATTCTCTTAGATGTACTAGATAAAAAACTAGGCAAGGGTCCTGAATTACTGAACTGTCCTCTTCAACCAGTAATTTAATTAAGTGCTAACACACCTTTGAGACACTGTGAAGTCCCTTGAGAGTTTTTAAATAACTCCAAAACAACAAGATTATTGCACAGCTCCTCAAACATGGACTTGCAGTTCAGCTGCATGTTAACTTCCATTTCTAAAAGCCCACTCGGCATTCATTCACCAAATAGGTGGCTAGGCAACATGTTGGGACAAGAGACTGAGACCCTGGCCTCAATCTCAGTCTAATATTTAACCAGCTATGATTCAGCCTGTTAAGGCCTAATGTAAATTAAGTGTGGAATGTTTGGAGAGCCCAGAGCATAGAAACCAAATCCATGGTCTGGGGAGGGTTTCCCAGGCAGCTACCCGACAAAAATGTTAAAAGATGCCATCATTTAAATCTATGTGAACAAAAGTTAGCCAGATAAAGAAAACAGAAGCCTATCTCGGGAAGGAGCTCTGGAGACACTGGTGTCTTAAAACACAGCAGTAGAAAAAAATACGACAGGAAGACACAAAAAGCAGGTAGAAAGACGCAAAGGCCAAGAAAAAGCCAAGCATCTTCTTCAAAGGATACTCAGTTCAAGAAGGCTAGACTGAACATAGGTACAGTGAAAAGAGCAAAGAGGTACCAGAACACAGAGGAGGACGGAGCAGAGAATGGAAGGTCTCATGTTTGCTAGGCACAGGACACACAATCCAGTGGCTGGACACCAATGAGGAAGGAGCCTGCTCAGGTCCAGATCCCAGGTCTATTCTGTACTTCTTAGAAGATCATGAGCAAGTTACTTAACATCTGGATGCCTCTGTCTCTTCATGTCTAATAGGAAGCTCATATAAATTCCTGTCTTATGAGAGAATAAAGTGAAACAATACATATAAAAATGCCTATGTATGCAGGAAGCACTCACTATACCATACTAGCTTTGACAGTATAAACTATAAGCATAAGCCACTAACACTCTGACTGACTGCTCATCCCCTTTGTGTTTTGTGTTGCAACCATTTCCCTAAATCATACCCCGCTTAGTAGACACTTTTATCCTACATAAGGGTAGGCACTGAAAGA